CTAACAAGGTTTGATTTGCAGTATTCGCCTGCGCACATGCTTTTTTGTAATACTCGTAGACAATGTGTACCACTTCTTTCTCGATTAACAATATTCTATTTCTACATTTTACTGTAGTCTCTTACAGAAAAGTCCATAGTAAATAAACGCTAACGAAATATTCTATAAAAGGTCTTCTCTTTACATAAAATGTCGTAGCATCTGTTTGATAATAAAAAATCACGTTAATTTTATTTCATAATACAAAATTCCATTAAACATCTTTTAAATAAATCTACTAGTTCATTATAATGCTAATAAACAAAGGCCGTTCCTGTCATAGGGTACGGGTCTCCGCCCAGTTCCCCCACTCCGTTAACCTTTCTTTGGAAATTGGCAACATTTGCGCAGGTTAAACACTGGTGTATGTTATATCTCTGGTTTCTTTTATCTAAGATTAGGATAAATGCCAATAAAATTTGATTAAATTTAAAATTATGCCACTAGGTACCTACTTTATGAAAAATTTACATCAAAAAATTGTTAAAATTTATAGGAAAGTCAGTATTGCTAGAACAGTGATATTGTTAATTACAAGATACATACTAGTAATTCACTTTATATTAGAAATAATTTTTGTTTTAGATTATGTCTATTTGAAATTCATTCGGTAAATTATAAATTATTTATCATACGAGTATTACTGCAAAGCTTTAAAAAATTAAGCAATAATGCTTAAAAACCCACTAAATAAATAGACAATGTTTTTATAATGAATATGTAGCGTATTCCTAACTTTTTATGTATAACACTTGCTATAAAATCAAATTATGAAATCAATTACGAAAACACATAGATATAGATAAATATATAATTATCGCGAAATTATGAACACAAATTCAGCAAAATTGAGATTCACAATTTTCATCACTGGAGATGAGCACTTGTTGCGCCGCTCGAATTTGTTAGCATTTCCGGTAATTTTTTCCATTTTACAATAGCAGCACGTTGCTGGGGCGTTCCCTTAAACTTCGTAGAAAAAAAATATGATACCTTTTTTCATTCATACTCATACAACGCGTCTTAATAATAGTTGTAGTATATAATTGATTACCCGAAACGCCCACTATTGTTCCACAACCTTTCATTATTGTCTACAATATCAGATATAAAGTCAAGATTGAAAAAATACCGGATAATAAAATAGTGCTGCCCTGATGACGATGGTCATTGTTGCTTTTGATGTAATGGTTATTGATTTTAGGATTTAAAGCTACAACTCGCTAATACGGATTTAATACACCATACTTACCTGCAGAAAATTATAAATATATTAATAAAGGAAGCACCTGTCTATATTGACAGTTATTTATATTCCGGTGATCAGGAGACCTGTAAATTATAACCTTAGATTATACAAACCTTAGATGGAACATAAGACACTGCGCATAATCCCATTTAGAAATTATTCACACCCACCAATCACAGTTGAGAACATTACATGTCAGAGCGTTGTCCATCCAAATTTAATGTGTCAACGAGAATTAATTTGGTATTTTAGTGACTTAAATTTTGGAAATTAACGTTGAAAATGTCAATATGTGCTATAAAAAGCTTTATTTATAATAAAAGTGCAAAAAGTGACGGAGATAAAAGAAACTTACATTTATTTTGGTGAGTTATTTAATTTTTAAAGATTCTGTCGACGGTCATAGTTGTTGATTTAAAAATAAACAGAATCGGACTTGGTCATTGGTACATGTTATAAGTAGCAAATAAAGGTTATTGTTATAAACTGTTTACTAATTCTTGTTTCATGGGGAATCTTTTTTCAGGAAATAAATACAAAAATATCAATTTCCTTGCCAATTTATTCGTTTCAAACTCCACAACTGGTTTCAATAGTTTATTCAAAACTATTTATTTACAACAGTGTTACTCAAAGTGTGCTCCGCGGAGTCCTGAGGCTCCGCGAAGAAAATAATCATAATAAAAAAAACAGTACTATCGCCATAAAATAAAGGGACCTGGCTTGAGGACCTTTTTTTGAGAAGTAATTTTTTTAAGTCATTAAGAAGATTTTTGCTTAAGGACTTTTTTTTTGTTTTTTTTTTATGGGTGAAATGGATTTGGGATAATTCTTGCAAGGAATCTTTTGAATTAATCAAAAATAAATTAACAACAAATGATGTTCTTCTGCACTTTCAGCGATTAAATTAATCGTAGATGCATCAAATGTGGAAATAAGGGCCATGATATGTCATGTTTTTGAAAAAAATATTGAGAAACCTATAGCTTCTGCTTCGCGTACCTTATCAAAGTCCGAAAAAAATATTCCCAAATTGAAAGAGAGGGCCTTGCAATAATTTTTGGCCTTAATAACTTTAATGAATATTTCTATAGACATTTTTTTATCCTAGTTAAAGATCACTTACCTCTGGTAACCATTTTTAACCCAGCTAAAGGTATACCCCAATTTTCAGCCAACAGACTACGTAAATGGGCAGTAATATTGTCAAATTACAATTATAAAATTGAATATGTGAAATCGGAGCACAATATAAAGCCGATTTTTTATCACGTTTACCTATTGAAAGTCAAAATAAAGAAAAATAAATTGTTTTTTTAAATTATGTGTTTTATGTGTTTAGGGCTTCGTTAAATATTTCGCTTCTCAAAAAGGTTCCTTTGCCAAAAAAGTTTGAAAAACACTGCTTTATAATAATATAAGATATATCCATTTAATTTACATTTAGTTATTTTCTCTAATTTTGACATATAAAGTTAAATATTTTGTAATCGCAGCAAGTGTCAAAACGATCTACTTTATGCAACCAGTTGCATAAAGTAGCACATAATACTGATTACGAAAAGTTGATTATGTCACCAGTTACGAAATGAAAATAAATAAAACTGACTATTTTTTGATTTTTAAGTAAAAAAATCGAAAATTCGAGAAATCGAGTAATCGAAAAATAAAAAAATCGAAAAATCCAAAAATCCAAAAAACGAAAAATCGAACAAACTAAAAATCAAAAAAACCAAAAATCGAAAAAAAGGCAATGAATAGTGGCATTTCACATTAGAAAATATGACATTATGTTTAACAACAAAAAAGAAAACAAAAAAAAACCCTGTAAATTGCGTTTTATTTTTTAAATAATTAAACACCGTTATTGAAAACTGTCCAGAAATGTTGAGCGGAAATTTTGACGTACTCCTTTAAGGATAATGGGTAAATACGTTTTTTTTTAAACTTCCCGCGGGTAATGTCAAAAATCAAATTGGCAACACTGCATATGTCCCTTATTTTTATTATTCCTATTGAATAAAAAAAAAACGTCGTAGTGCAATCAAATACAACAATTTTCTGAAATATTTGATTGGAAGTACCTACAAAAGAATGATGGTGAATCATTTTTCAACATTATTTTATAAATAATTAAGTCAAAATTAGAAAAGATCTTGTATATAAACACGTTACGAAATGCCGTTTTGTGTAACTCGTTCATTTTGCGGGACCTCGCTCCGCTCGTCCAGCAAATATTAACCCGTTATACAAAATAAGGCATTTCGTAACTGGTTACATAAATAGCTATTAATTGACTTCCTAATATTTTAAATCATTTTACAGTGTTTTCATATAAGTACCAAAACATTTTTTTCTCTTCGAAGACTAGGCTTTTGTCAAATAAACTTATTATAACGAACGAAAAGGTAACCCATTTCTAATAAAATTTATTTATTTATTTTATTTTGGTGTGATCGTAGAAAAAATCTTGTGTGTAATTCGAGCAAAAAGTACTTTGGATGTTTCGTTAACTTTTTGTCTCAACAGCTATTTTGTTACAATAATTTTATAAACTTTTACTTAGGGTAGATTTCACCGTTTTGATAAACGAAGTTTAAAATACTAAACGAAGATTAAAATTACATTTCTACATTAACAATGTCATTTGAATCTTCGTTTAGTAACACAACGGTGGAATCAGCCCTTAGCTACTAGCTGTACATTGATAAAGTGTTATCGCCCTCATCATAAATGAATCGTTAGTTACCTACCAAAATTAGGTACTACAATACAAATATTTAAGTCCGGCCCAGAACATCTCCCTACTCCTTCCACCCAGTTTTTCGGTTCTGGCAAAATTCGCGCAGCAACAAATGTTTCCTATGTTACCTCTACCCTTTCTAACATCTTTGATTATAACACAAAATTTAATCTAAAAATATATAGGGTGATTTAAAAAAGGATTCGCTCAGTAAATAATTTTCATAACGGCATCCATTTTCAAGATACAGAGTATTAAAAAAATATATACACATTTTTTTATGAATATATCGAAACTACCGGCAACTTTGATGAAATTTTGTACGAATATGTTTCGGAAACTGATACATCGCATAAATTTATACTAATATCCGTCCAGTGGTCGAAATTCGACCACAATCGTTATTGAAAATTTGAGCAAAACATATATGCATTTGCTGCGCGGCTTCGTGCATAAACTTTTTCACTTCGTGCGTAATTTGTTACAACTCTTGTTACGTAATATACTATTAATAATAAAAAAGTTCTTGTTCGCGACTGTTTATCTTATTATTTGTTGTATTTCAAAAAAATTAACTTAAGTGTTTGTAAATCCTTTTAGTTTAGACAAAACACAATAGGTAAATTTATAAAAAAAACCAGCTACATTGTGATTGAACCTTTATAGCCATATTTCCTAGTTTTACAGTTTTTTGATAAAATTATTTTGTGGTCATAGGAAAAATATCACTTGTGTGAAAGTAATTTTTTAAACTCGTGTGATTGTCGCACTCGGCTTATGCCTCCTGCGACACTAGCTCCACTCGTGTCCAAAATCTCACTTTCCATACTCTTAATGTAATATACTAAATCAATGTTTATTAATCAAAATACATAAATAACGAGAATCGACAAAGAATTATATTCAAAATGATAATAAAATATTCTTAAAATAACTGCCATTATTATACCTACCTAGTTACTGAGTATTTTAATTTTTTCTTGGTAGTACCAATGTTATTCTATTAACAGATAACGTATTATCCCAAACCACATTTTCAATTTCTATAACATCAGGTTCTTCTTCATCATCATCATCACATTTTATTTCATTAATGCCTAAATATTTGTTGTTATTGTTCTTGGCCCATTTTTGTAATATTTTTAAACATTCACAATCAAATGGATTAAATTCTATATATACAGATTGTCCTCTAAAAATAGTATCCAAAGCGTTTTCTTCAAAACATTGAATACTGTTGTTATTCAGTCTCAAATCGTTTACAACGACATTTTGTAATATTTCTTTGTCAAATTTTTCTAACAAGTTATTTGTTAAAACCAACTGATTAATCCTCTTCAAATCTACGAAAGCTTTTGGATGTATTTTAGAAATTTTGTTATTACTGAAAATCAAATTTAAGTTTCGAATTTTTATATTTTTAATTCGTAAATTTTGGAAACTTCGTTCAGGTAGCTCTTCTATTAAGTTATTTTTCATGAATAATATTGATAGTTCTGGTGTATTTTTAAACCAACTTGGATCCCATTTGGAAATATTGTTATAAGCTAGATTTATATAATAAATATGTCGCATGTCATCAAATGCATGGGGATATACGTTTGTAATTTGATTGTGGCTTAAATCCAAAGTATGTAGTTGCAGATTATTGAATACTCCATTTTCTATTCTCTCAAGTTTATTTACTGAAAACAGAGAAATTCCTGGTAGTTATTTGTGTTTAAGAATAGTCATTTTGTATTATTAATTATGTTATAAATATATCTACTATTATCATCTTTATTTTTTTAGGCATATACCCAAAATTTTTATTTTATACCAAAATGTTGGTATCATAAATAAAATAAAAATATAAATGATATACACTAATGTAAAAAATTAAGGGATCAAAAAAATATCGGTTTTTTACGATTTTTCGAGTGGCTGTATCTTTGGTAAAAATGGTCGTACGTGAATGAAAAAAAAAAAAGGTTTGAAGCTTGAAGTATCTAGTTTATATATCTTGTAATAAAAAAAATTTCCAATCAACAATTAGCACAAAATCCTGATGAATATCATGGATAGAAAATTATTGAAAAATTTTTTTTTTTTATTTTTCGTGTACGAAATTTTCTCGAAATAACCACTATATGCAGTTTCAATTTTTTTTGATGGCCTCGAGATGACCCTTCCTTGCTGAGTCAATTTCTCAGGAACCAATGGCCGCTCAGAAAATGGAAGGGGGGTTTCAGAAACTTCGATTCATTCTCTACAAGGTTCTGGCATGTTATTTCACAAGAAAATGTTTTTTTATCCCTAGCATGACTTTGAAGAATTTCGGAAAACAGGTCTTTTTGTGGTTTTTTAGAAAATGACGTGCCACATTGAGAATATTGGGAAATGTTGAGTGTGCATCTTACAGGCCATTGTTCTACAGAAAGCCCTACAAAATTTTAATTTGATCCATCAAGCCATTTCATTGTTTCATGCGAGTGAATTTTTGAAGAAATTGAAGGATCGCTTTTTTCTATCCATGATATTCATCAGGATTTTGTGCTAGTTGTTGATTGGAAATCTTTTTATCACAAGATTCATAAACTAAATACTTCAAGCTTCAAATTACTTTTTTCTTCATTAACGTACGACTATTTTTACCAAAGATAAAACCTCTCGAAAAATCGCAAAAAATCGAGATGTTTTTTGATCCCTTAATTTTTTACACTAGTGTAGTATGTCAAGTAAAGGTTAAAAAATAAAAATTGAAAATTATAGAGTTAGTTCATAGGAATAAAACAAGCAATAATCATCAGAGCTATCCTAAATATATTAAACAATAATAATATGGCTACTTAAATTGAATGTATAATCACATTTATTAATATTTCCACAAATATATAGTCATTGTTTTGTCATCTACACGTCTCCTTCTTAGAAATATTTATTAACTATTTATTTTAATTAAATTTACTCTTTTTTACAAAAAGTTTACCTCTGTAGTTGACATAATTTTAAATGTTGAAAACGCTGAGCTAACAAAATTATTATTGTATTACTATATTATCATTTGAATTCATTTTTATTATCAGGTTAATTTAATACCGTTTTATTTTTGTTAATATTTGATGGATATATTTTTATTCTTAAAGAAAATGTGTTTAAATTTTTTCCAAATAGCTATATACACTTTAAGTATTAGAATAGTCTCGATGAATAAAACAACGATAAATATTGCGAAAACGCCCTTTTCTTGAAAATACAATTTCTTTTACAAAACTTACATATTAGGCTTTAGGAAGAAGAGTATTGTACAAAACCCCATAATTTAACGTTTTTTTATGAGGATTATTAAGGGATCATTTAAACTTATTCATTAGAAATATATCTTTCATGCTTTGTCATTACAAATGCGCAGTATTGCCAAGTGTCCAATTCAAATCAACGAAAACGAAATATAAAAAAAGTAGCTTATTTTTGACATAATATTTTCATGCACATTTTGAATGAGTTGTTGCAGTACATAATAATTAAATATATCATCATGTATAGAGTATTAAACAATGTACTTTTCGAAAACTTTTAAACATAATTACTTTGTGTTATCAAAAAGTTTTTAAAACAAGGGAATTTATTTGGCTGACAAATGACCCTGTCAAATTTAAAAACTACTATTAACTACTATCAATTTTAAAAAATCTGATGTGTCGAACACATCACTTTTCTAAATAGTTATTATAGGCTTTTTCCGGTTATTTTGTACAACCTATTGCAGCACCTCTATAAATATTTAGAGGATAAATTAAATATATACATTATCCCATATATCTACCTCGAAACAACTGAATACTAAATTTAGCACTCTTCCTCTAATTTTTCCATTACGGTCCATTTTAGAAAAATCATATATGAACAAAAATTATAGAGATCGATAACAACTTTTAGTTCAACAATTTTCACAAAAATCAGAATTTTGCACATTTTGTCAAATTTCTCAAATACGGACCATTTCAGGAAATTTTGACAAAAATAAAAAATTATAGATAATAATATTAGAAGTAACTTTTATTTAAACAATTTTCTTCTCCAAACATAAAAACGGCCTCCAATAAAGTACCCCCCAGATGTTCGGACCATGTCCAAAATTTCATCATTTTACGTCAGGCCGAAATAAAACTTAAGTTTAAAATTTAATGTTTTTCCTTTTTCCGTTTTTGAGTTTTCTTCAAAATTCGAAATTTACACATTTTCTCAAATATCTTAAATATGGTCCATATTTTTCTGTTTGTTTACGTTATCATACTAAAATGTGATGTTATAGAATCTACTTTTTTATTAATTATAATTATTTACGTCTGGCGATAAACGTTTGTTTAGTTTAGACCACGTCATCAAAGTGTTTGCATCGAACTCGTCTGTTACTCGCCTCCCTCGCTTCTCTTGCTCAGCCCATAATCTCAGACTAGTTAGATAATAATCACTTTGCTGACTACATAAATAACTATTAAATAACATGACAATAGTATTTAAATGTATTACCTATTACTTACCTATTTATTTACTCCTATAATTTTTTAAATTTGTTTAATTATCTATCTGGGAAAATGATCTTTCGAATGTCTGAAACACTCTTTATTTTATAAATAAAAAATGCTAAATGTCATAATTTAAAAAATAAGGTGTACTGATGTACGTTTTACATGTGAGCCACCAAGTGACGTCACAGTTAATCAAGCAGAAATTGAACTAATTCATCTATCCTTTTTATTTCATTGTCTTTAAATTTGGTTGGCTGGCGTCATTCGTCAAGCAAATAAATTATCTTGTTTTAAGAAAGTTTTAAACTTTTTAACCACACAAAGTAATTATGTTTAAAAGTTTTCGTATAGTACAATATTTATTACTCTATAGATGTAATATTAATATTTAATTATTATTTACAAAACACTTTAATCAAAATGGATAAATGTGACTGGAACTACATTAAATCAGTTAAATGTTATTCGAAACAAAATCTTGAAGTTAATATATAAAAGAGATAGATTGTGTCCCACCATCACTTTATATAATAAAAAAATTGGCAATGTTAGATGTTTATATACTCACGCAGTGTGTTGTTATATAAAAAAAATGAATTTTTAAAGAACCCTCTAGAATATAGACATAACACTAGAACTGCATCGAACATGTGCATTAAAGTACCAAAACCAAATAGTGAATTTTTTGAAAACAGTGTAAATTATCTAGGGATAAAGTTCTATAACGCTCTACCTCTTCATATAAAATTATTAAACAAAAATAAAAAATTCTGTAAAGTTAGCAAAATATATATTTTCCAAAACAATGCAAAGTTTATCAGAATATTCCAAGAATAACGGACTTAATACATCGATTTTTTTTTAAATAGTTTTTTTTTCTTTCTTGCATAAATCGTTCAAGTTTTATTTTTTATTTAAAACAAATTAATTATTTAACAGAGGTAGTGCTCTTTAAAGTAAATGGAAATATTATGTCAAAAATAAAGTATTTTTTAATATTACTTTTTCGTTGATTTTAATTGGACACTTGGCAACACCGCGTATTTGTAATGAAAGAGCATGACAGCTAAAATTCTAATGAATAAATTTACATAAATGATTTCTTAATGATCCCTTAACATAAATTAAAAAAAAATATATGGGGTGTCCGGTGGTAATATTTGAAAAATATTCTCCTTCCTAAAGCTTAAAATGTAATTTTTGTAACAAAATTGTAGTTTTAAGAAAATGCCGTCTTTGCAATATTTACCAAACAAAAATCGACTTGTTTATTACTCAACCTTCACTCATAAAATAAATAAAGTACTTACCTTTTAGCGAAATCCTATTTAGATGTGGCAAATTTTTAAAAGCTCCTGGTCTAATTTCTCTCACATTGCTAGACTCTATTATAAGTTCATTTAAATGTTCAATATCGGCTATGGAATTTTCATATAACACTGGAATCACCTGATCGACGAATTCCAGCGTATCAAAGTCTTTATTTGGCAAATAATCTTTCAAATTGTTCCCCGAGAGAATTGTTGGTCTAAATTTCGGTGTAAACATGCGATATCCTTGAAAATTCACATTTTTGAACGTAATTTCTGTCGATTTTCCGTAATCAAATAGGAGAAACGTCAAAAGAAGTAACTCAGCTAACAACATTTTAATCACTAATGTTTGTAATTTTGTTGACTCATGATAATACTATCGTTTCATAATTGCGTTTTAAAGATTATTTAAATGTTGCACATAGGCGTTTCGTTAATCTTATGAACTTTAAATAAAAGTAATAAATATTAACCATTTATAATAAAAGAAAAATATTTTTCACTTTGATAATTAAAACGATTTTCCATGCTATTTCCTATTCTAAAGGTACATTATCTATCGTAGAATGCCACTTCTTAATGAATAAACTAATAAAGCAGAAATGAAATACACAAATGTAACCAACCAATTTAAAAATTAAATTAAAGGAAAATTAGAAGTGTAACAACCAGGACGCCTAAAGACCATTTGTAACTACTGATAGGTCCTTAGCTACTGTTGTTAATATACTATTAAGGGATCAAGGCAGCACTGTCACCAGCCAAAGGGTCCTGGAGTTCTGAAGGAACATCCATTCACCAGTGGCAAATAAAAATATAAAAAAATTAAATTAAAAGAAAAAAATCATCCCTTAATAGCATAGTCGAGCGGTTCTTGGCAACTAGTTTTAGACTCTTTTAGTCCTAAGGGAATAGAAACGCCGAGGCTTCTCAAATGCTCGGAGTATTTTGCTAGTTTGGAAGGGTAGGAGAGATTAATAATAAGTATTAAAACATTAACAAATGTATATTAACAATAAACATAAAACTTGACAAATAGTCTTCAGAAAAACATGAATAAAATTCCATTTAGGGAATAAAGCACTATAACTAATAGTAATAAAGATACGCATAAGATAAATATAATTCGGGACGAAAATGTAAAATTGGCATTTATATGTAAATCAATCAATCAATGAATTAATATTAAACAAAAACACTTTAAAATTAAAATAAAATATTTACCCATAATTCACATCGTATACTCTATACTCGTATACTCTACACTTTACTTTACAATACAAAACGAGGGGCTTCGCCCTGGGGCGAAAGTTCTGGACCTTAGTCCGATCTCGACTGAGTGCCTTTCTTTCTGTCTTCGCTTTATATAAACTAAAATTTACGTGATATTTGGTTGTATTTAAAAATGTCACGTTCAATGTAGAATAATAACCTTTGTTATTTTTTGTTTGTTTCATTTTCATACGTGTCTTTTTAATAATTTTATTTAAACATTAAAAACTTATTTAGAATTTTTGGTAAATTCTTTAGATTTTTTTAAATAATAATAATGCCAATTATTACAGAACACGTCGGACGAGAAATGAAACGTTACATTTGACATTTGACATTAATTATCATCTAAATTGACCTTTAACAAATGAAATTAAATAACTATCGATTATTTAGTAAATTGTATCATAGCTTTCCGGTACCCAATAGGCATACTCACATACTTTGATTTTCTCTTACTATACGGAGAATGGTCGCACTGCGTAGCTTTGTGAGTGCCTTTTAAAAGGAGATAGAAACCTCTGCCATTTTGATGCCTTATTTCGTGTTGCCTACATCTTGGTGCAATATTTTTAATATTTTGCTTGCTGCTGTCAGTGTCAATGAATATTATTTTTGGAGTTACAGTTTATTGCTAAATAATCAGTTAGCTCACTCGGACCAGTTGAATGTTCCAAAATAACATCCACTCCAGGGATACAAATTCAGGATGCGCAGAAGACTGCTGTTTGAATATAGGCGGTTGTCATATATTGTATTATCCGAGTTACGCAGTGTTTAAACTGGAACATTGAGATCAAAAGTGCTGACGCAGAGTGAGCGAACTGATTCTTTAGCTATAAACTGTGGTAAAGGCATCAAAATGGCCGCGCCACATGCTTTGATTTTCTCTTACTATACGGAGAATGGTCGCACTGCGCAGCTTTCTGAGTGCCCTTTAAAAGGAGATAGAAAACTCCGCCGTTTTGATGCCTTATTACGTGTTGCCTACATCTTGGCGCAATATTTTTAATATTTTGCTTGCTGCTGTCAGTGTCAGTGAATATATCATTTTTGGAGTTACAGTTTATTGCTAAACAATCAGTTAGCTCACTCGGACCAGTTGAATGTTCCAAAATAACATCCACTCCAGGGATACAAATTCAGGATGCGCAGAAGACTGCTGTTTTATTATAGGCGATTGTCATATATTGTATTATCCGAGTTGCGCAGTGTATAAACTGGAACATTGAGATCAAATGTGCCGACGCAGAGTGAGCGAACTGATTCTTTAGCTATAAACTGTGGTAAAGGCATCAAAATGGCCGCGCCCTATGTTGGGCGTGTCGGACTTCTCTCTTGCACCGTATAGTAATCAAAGTATGTGGACCGCGCCCTATGTTGGGCGTTTTGGACCTCTCTCTTGCATCGTATAGTAATCAAAGTATGTGGCATACTTTAAAAAGTAGCTTGAGCTTCGTAAACAAAGGAACAGAATTTTTCTATCTAATTTCTTCTATAATTCCTCTCTATTTTATTGAATAAAAATCAAGTTGTTTTATAGTTTCTGATTTTTTAAAAATAAGTTATAAGATTTCAGAGTGCCAAGACAGTACCTAAACGTTAGAAACAGTGGCGTAGCTACATCCCCGCAAGCCCCCGCGATGCAGGGGGGTCACTGGTACTGAGGCCTCCCGGCAGATCGGTTAGACAGAGTAGAAAAGGACCCCCGGTTGAGTAAGGAGAACATAAAATACTTATGAAAGGGTAAATCTCGACTTTAAAAGTAAAAGTCGCTTAAAATAATCATACGTGACAACTAGTGACAACAGAATCTTGAGAGCATAATTGAGTTTTTAAACTATTTGTAATCCTACATGCGTATCTAGCTTTTCTAATACAATTAAAGCTGTGATAATGTACTTGACTTTACCCAAAAACGTCGCAAGTAATGAAAGGTCTTTCTCTAAATTAAAATTTATTTCAGAATCAGAATTTCTCAAAATAGGGATTTAACTGGGTGTTCACTGCACAAATGAACCAATTGAAAAACCGCCCCCGACTGTAATATTCGGTTTAAGTTCGTTAGTTTTATGTCAGGATATAGGTGTTCTTATGTGTAGAAAACACCAAGTTTAAAATATTATGTAACACCTAGGTAATTTAATAAAAAAAAAATATTTAATTTTTTTTAGTTTAGAAATAATATTACATTTTATCCTGAATCCGTCTCTGTAAGTTTTTTCCCCATTGAAATCGTATACAGAACGAAGTACATACATGAAATATTAAATTTTTTTTGTTAATTCCCAAACATTTTTCTTGTCCTCAAAATCACATCCGTTATTCTAGTGAACACAAAGCTGGCGCATGCGCAATCCGCGGCGATGTAAACTGCATGTTTAGCAAATGTCATTTTCCTTAAAAATAAAAGTTAATTTTTAAATTTAAAAATATGTATGCGACAATAATTTCAAATGTATTTACTTTTGTTAAATGTACACTTGACCTTTTTGGATTTGAATGAGGTACCTACTTTTTCTAATTATGTGCGCTAATAAACTCATATACCTACCTACTTTCTATCCTAATAGTATAGTCACAGCTGATACAATAATACAGCTTCACAACTCCGTGTCGGTGCATTTGATTTTTCAGTCGAGAACCAAGCAAGACGGAATGGTGCTATCTCTGTTAGATTCGACGGAAAAGTCGGGGCCGGATTAAAAAATATTTGTTAACGAATTTGGTCACACTCGTGAATGCAATTCAAGTGGTACCTCGGGTGTCTGGCAAGTGTCACGCATCACGCAAAGGGTTTATACCTAGATAAACTAATGCATCGACTGAGGTCTGGGAACTCTACAGCATTCTGGGTTATTACGAAGAATCAGTTTATTTTAACAATATGGTTTTTATTTAGATGTATTTTTATTCATTGGAATAAAGATTTGTAGAAGTAATATTTTGACAGTTTTTATTATTATAATATATTAAATTTTTACCTGACTGTACCGAAGAAGGGAATTTTAAAAATTTATAGTAATGTGAAATTTGAATTACAATGAAATTACATAATTGCTATTTTAGATAGGTAGTAAATTTGCATTTGGATGAAGTAATATCGATTTTTACAATAACAACTTTAAAAGGAAATTAATTTGGCCCCTAGTTACTGATGTAAAATTTAAACTATGAAAACAAATAATAGTAGTTTATGTAACAAGATTGAATATGATGGCCATATCGCACAAAGACGAAATTTGGGCGACGCTATAAGCGGAGTGCTTAATCATCTGAGTACGATATGGACAATCCACTCGAGTCGTACAGTATATTTTTTCTTTGACCCACTAACGAAAATCTACAAATTAAAAAAATATATTTTAGGTTATTAAGACAAGTTTTAAAATAAATATGAAAAAAAATTAGTCGCCAGCTGAGAATCTATCCCCATCTTTTTGCGTGTAAGGCAAGCACTCTGTCCATGTGTCTACGGCCACTTTTACGATTTTGGTTTTAATACTTGTAATTAAAATAGTTTCATATAGTTTGATTAATTTTTTTTTTTAAATATGGTTCAAATAAAATAAAAATGCTATTATTTACGATTATTTATAGATTCTACACAAAAATAATTCATTTTAATGTATATTTAATCTCAATAACTAAATATTATAGTGACAATTAGTTTGAAAGAATTGTCACTTATTTAAAATTTTAAAAATAATAGCAGTCGGTTGATGAAAATATGAACTGTGATTGGTGAATTTCATTTTTGTGCACTACCTAGAGTGGATATGAAGTACATTCGTTCAGTTGAACGCAATGACATTCTTTTTTATTTTGTAGTTTGTGCGTAGCTAAGCTAATATCCATGAGGGTGTAGAAAAAATTATTATGAACAGAGACAAACTTACGACATAAGGTTTATTTGACGTGAATATCAATTCTTTGAATATTTAAATGCACAATGTTTGCAAATCATATGTTGGTGAGTAGCTGCACCTTACACGGACAGTGTTATGATAGTTAGGATATACCTATAGAAAGTGATTTGGTTTCCTTAGAGTCATATAATAATTAATACTAGCTAACGGTATAATGATAATGTTTAAGGTTAGAAGAGTAAAGAGAGAAGTACCTTGTATTGCAATTTGTATCAGGAAACTAACAGCGTTGACTGGAGGCGTGGGACTGGACGTCCAAGGGTAACTAATCCAAGAGATAATCGATATGTAGCAGGTTATGTACTTCGGAATCGAACCGTAACAGTCTCATTTGTCCGAACGCATTTTAGAAGAACGTATGGTCGATTCATTTCCAGTACCACAATACGGCGGAGACTTGCTGGAGCCAATTTACGACCTAAGAGACCATTATGAGTACCTAGGTTACTTGCCAGACATATAGCTGCTCGTGTACAGTGGACACAGGAACACATATACTGGTTTTTAGCTCAGTGGCGAAATGTTCTTTTTTCGGACGAAACCAGATATGGTTTAATTAGTGATAGTCGGCGACACAAAGTTTGGAGAGAGCCAGGACGACCAGAAAGACTATTTTTTGCCAGAGAAGTCACTCCATACCAAGGAGGAACAGTAATGTTTTGGGGAGGCATAATGCATGGTCGTCGTACGCAGCTTATTCCCATTCCAGACACTATGACAGTTGATAGATATGTTCGAAACATTATTATACCCATTATTTATCCTCTCCGAAATGAAATTTAAGCCAATTTTATTTTCATGGATGACAATGCTAGGCCCCATCGCACGAGAATGGTACAAAATGCACTAGAAATTTAGAATATTCAAAGATTACCCTGACCAGCAAATTCGCCAGATATAAATCCCATTGAGCACATGTGGGATTTCGTTGAAAGAGCAATCTCAAACAGAATTAATCCTCCTGTCACCCTCCAAGAATTCACAGTTGCGGCCCAAGAAGAACATCCCATTAACGCCCTTTTGTTTCCATACACAAGCGAGTTAATACCATACTACAAAACAGGGGAGGACACACCGAATATTAATGAATTTTTGATTTCGCTCTAAAGTGGTTTTCTTCTGGATTTCAAATTCTAGTAATCATTTTATTATGCACTATTTTTCGTTTGTATTTTTTCCTTGTTTAGTTAAAATTTAATTCAGCCAATTTGTATTGGATACACAACCAAATTAAAAGTACTATGTAACACACTTCTTGACTTTTAATAATAGTGTCTTATTTTGACAAACATAAGGAGGTCCAAGAATTTTGGCGATGTGTGTGTATATAAGACAAGAAATAAGTATCATATTTTATTTTTAAGTGTTAAAACCCATTAGATAAATTTCCTTAATTTTTCTCTTGTATGTAAAATTAAATATTATGGCATTAAGTAAATTTGGTGTTGGTCGTATTAATGTATGTTCACTCTTACCTAAAATAGATGAAATAAGAGATTGGATTTTGAATAGAATTATAATTGTAATATTCAGCTTGAATTCGTTAGTCTTACGTCATGATACAGGTGTTCTTGTGTATGGTGAAGATCAAACAATTATTGGTTGTTATTAAATTATGACATTTATTAGATTTAATATGTAATTTAACAAAAAAATATTTTAACATTTTTTAGTATTGAAATATTATGCGTATTTGCTGTACATGTAGGCATATTAAAAAAAAATATGAAAAATAATTTTATCAATGTTTAACAAATAATATGTGATACAAATAAACGAAGAATATTGTAGTGTCCGACATGTGTGACTTGGTCTTTCTATATTAGAAATATTTTTTGTGGATCATTCCATATTTTAACTCATTTTAATGATACATTACTAAAATTATTAAATCTGTTACAAATTATATGTTTACTTTATAGAAACTGTTTTGGGTTCAAAAATTTCGAGATCTTCAATGTTACTTTCGTCGGTGTTGTATGTGACCTTCTTTGTTAATGCCTTTAATCTTTTGTCCAAAGCAGTCACTGTATTTTGAAATTTCTGATCTGAACAATTCATTTCAACATTAAAAATATCGACCATTTTCTCCCTTTTTGACCATTCTTTAATCTGTTGTAAGTATTCACAATCAAATGGATTATAATCAATGTGGTTTGCATTAGCTTTTAAAGTTTTGTCAAGATTACCATCGAAATATTTTATGTTATTATTGTCCAATCTTAAAACATCGATTGCAATGCCATTTAATAAATCTTCATGAAATTCTTGAAGTAAATTATTGTCAAGCCACAAGTTGTCAATTTTTTCTAAACCTGAAAAAGCTTTGAGATTTATGTTTTTGATTTGATTGTGGCTGAAAACAAAGTTAATTGCTATATCAAGGTTTCCATACTTTTTTATTCCTTTCATATTTTTAAAAGCATTAGCTGGTAGTTCTTCTATTCTGTTATTTGGCATTGAAATTATTATTAGTGAGGGGGTGTTTTTAAACCACTCTGGATTCCATATTTGTATATAGTTGTCAGCTAGTTCAATATTAAATAGGTCCGGCATGTCGTCAAATGCATTAGCATGTATGCTTGATATTTGATTTGACTTTAAATCTAATGTAAAAATCATTAGATTGTTGAAAACTCCGAATTCAATGGTTCTAATGTCGTTACCTGTAATATAAATATATGTTAGTAAAGAAAATTATTTTGGGATAGAGGAATAATAAAATAAATAAATTTATGTTAAAAAAAATACATTTTACATTGTAACATTTTAAAAGTCTAATTATAAAATGTTATTTTAAATGAGTGCCATCCGGTATAATTTAATTATCGCCAACACACAATATTCTAAAGAAAGGGAAATTTCTTGAAGTGGGAGTACCACTAACCAAACGATCTTAAATTAGATTTGTAAATTTCATTTTATTATTACCTTTTGATCATATCGGTGGTGCATTGGCTGTTAAAGTGGTAAGCATAAAAAGTATATAATGTCTTTATTAAATATCTCAGTAGAAATATTATTCAAACCTTTTGTATTAGTATTAGTATTAGTTTTTTAATAGTAAAGTTAAATATATTTTTATGATTTATTCTGGTTGCTAGAACGGCACTAGTTTTTATTATCTAATTGGTTCATTTTTTTTTTAAAAAAGTAGATGTTTCAAATTTATATATCGTACAGAACCACGTGAAAAACAAAATCTATTTTTGTCTAGCAAACGAATGGAATCAGCCATAAGCCATAACGACATATGCCATAACGACATAAGCCATAACGACATAAGCCATAACGACATAAGCCCTAACGTCATAAAACCATAATTCAACCGCTGTAATCTGAACGTTGGTTCTCAAAGAGCAGAAATCTCTTGTGAAAAGTTAGTTGATTGGAAAATCGACAGCTACAATTCGAAGCTTCATAAGAAGAAAGATTAACCGACAAAGGCGTTGGTTTCCGAGGGACAGAAATCTCAACTACCTATGGCTATCTAGAAGTGGTTAGCTAAGAAAGTAAAATGTGGTAATTACTAGTGACTAGAATTATTTATGTACGAATCACAATTTGATACCCGATAACTGTGAATAATTTGTTTTCGAAAAGGTTTCTTTTTTTAAATAAAATCATTAATTTTTATAAGTATACATGTTGAATCTTAATTTTTAAAGGTCACAAAAAATTCTCTTTCATTCACTAAATTCTGTATAATTTTTATTAACTTCTTTTTATTGATAAAGCTAGAATTTATAATTCTCACTAGCTTTTAAAAATAAAAAAGAGAATTATTGGTGCCCAACATTTCCTAGAAAGATTACTACCCTTAAAATTGTCTATTTGAAAAGCCGAATTCACGACAGAGAAAAGGATGTGCTCATTTATTTTTTTTTTAATTTTTAAAGGTAAGTAACGTTTGATATTAAATTTCACTGAGCTAGTAAAAATCTCTATAAGTGTTTTGAAATTAACATTTATCAAAAAGGTAATAAATAATATTGCAAATTGTAGCCTGACGGGTTAATGGAATATTGCAACATTTAGTATCAAACTGGGAATTTTCCAATAATTTTCGATAAGATGATTTGTCTTAGGCAATTCTTGTTTAGAACTTGAAAATATGAAATTTTTTGTAGGTTTTTATAAATAACGATTTAGCGTAAATTTTATATTTTTATGTAACAAGTACCATTGAACGTTACTCTTATTCCTACACCATAGGCCAGTCAGTAACGACATCCCATTTTGAACATTACACATTAATTACAAAAGCTTTCAAACTTTGCAATAATAATCGGCTAGTTTAAATAACACTAAGGGTTGGTCTTTTCACCTTCAGATAAAGTGCCAGGTAATTTGTATCTCCCAAGTAACTTAAAAGTAATCTTTTCACTTCTGGATAAACCTAACTTCTGAATGATAACTTAACTTAGTTATGAAATTCCTGATAAAATACTTCACTGATGGATAAACAGGTAGCTACATAACCACATAAGATTAAAAACTACTGGATACTTACCATACATATTATTTATTTGAAAAAACAGAAAATTAATTATCTGACAGATAGTAACTCTCAGATAATATATCCGTCAGTTAGTTATCTGGAACTTTATCTAAAGATGAAAAGACCGACCCTTAGTTTAAATTTTCAACCATTTCCAAGGCCCGGAACTAGTTAATTTATACCAAAATGGAGCTTTTGTTTAAAATGTTGAAAAAAAAAAATTGCAAAAGTGATGCAAACTTGAAGCAATATATATTGTTTTATTTTTAACATTATATCAGATTTGCAACTTTTTTGAAAGTCCGGAACATTATTTTTTTTTGTAAAATAGCATTTTTGTTTATATCATAGAAAAAAAAATTGCAAAAGTGCCGCAAACCGATGACATAACTTTTGTCATAAGTTTTGAAAATTGGTTTCAAATGATAATATTATTTTTCCTAACAATCTGGTAAATTTGCAAGCTCGGACAAGGTCCGGAATCATGAAAAATTAACAAAAATCAACAATTCGCACATCTTGCAGTCGCTAAAAAATTTAAAAAGTATTGCAAATTTTACCGAACGATTAAAATACCTTCCTATAAATAAATGCAAATTTGCAACGCTCCAAGATTAATGCAAAGATTGTAAATTGACCAACTTTGCAATGCGAAAATAATTTAAAAGTGTCTAGGGGAACAAAAAAAAATATTCATAAGCCATATAGAATTTGTAACAAAATATTTAAATAATTTCTTGTTTTCGTTTTTTATCGAGTTTAAAAAGAATATGTATATTTACCCCATATTAAATAATTGGCCGAGATGGTATGAACTAGGACATAGAAGAGAAAACAATCAATATCGTAAATCGAGCCAAGAATAATAAATTAATTCAATACCGTTGTAAATAGACCATCTACCGGGTGTTCATTTTAAAGTGTTACAGTCAAATACCGCCGAAAATATGCATTTTAGAAAAAAAAGTTTCAGACAAAAGTTTTATAGTTTTTTGGTGGAAATATTTTGGCTAAATTCATTTTTTTGTAGTTGGCCATAATATGGCCATATCGAGGTGGACTTTGTTTTTTTTTAAATGGGCATCCCATTTTTTTCTTACATACTCTTAAAGTACATAAAAAAATAAGAAACTTTTGAGGGAAATATTTTTTTTATTGGACTTTTACTTTTTGAGTAACAGCTACTTGAAAATGTTGCTGCGCGAAAAAAAAGTTGGCCATATTATGGTTAGCTATAAAAAACGATTTTAGCCAAAAGTTTTTCCCCTCAAAACTATAAAACTTTCGTCTGAAACGTTTTTTTTTTTATAAAAAGCGGTACATAGCTGTAAAGTTGAACACCCGGTATACAGGGTGTTTCAAGAAGATTAGTCATAAGTTATACCACGTATTCTTGAGTCAAAAATAAGTTGATTAAACCGTACTTACCTATATACAAAAGTGCAAAAATAGTATAAGATAAAAATTTAAATGAATTTTTTTAACGTTGCTCTTAAACCGTTGGACATTTTTTCATGAAATTTTATATGACGTGTTGGAATACCATGACTAACAAAATCGAGGTAGAGGCAATATATTTTTTTTTATTTTTGTAGGATTTTGGAGGGTGTCACCGCCCCTTTATCTACTCAACGTTTTTGTAATATAAAATTTTATTAAAAATTGCACGCTAATGAAATGCAACATCTATTTGGAAACTTTTTTGTCTCCTATTATTTGTTTGTAAAATGTTTGGTTTAGACGATACAGCTACTTAAAACGACATCTTAAAAATATTCAATGTAAATTATACGTATCCAAAAATATCAAAATTCGATTTTCATTGTTAAAACTATGTAGTAAGTGTATACAGGAAGAGAATGTAATTTTGAACACCTGTTAAATTAAGTTTTTAATTTGATGACATTAGTTTGTAATTTAAAAATAAACTTGATTTTGATATTTTTCATACGTAGAATTTTCATTGAATATTTTTAAGTTGTCATTTCAAATGGATGTACCGTCTAAACTAAACTTTTAACAAACAAATACTAACAGACAAAAAGTTTCCAAATGGATGTTAAATTCCAGTGGCGCTTTATTTGTAATTAAATTTTATACTACAAAAAAGTTGAGTGAAGAAAAGAACGGTGACACCCTCCAAAAATCTATAAAAATCAAGAAAAAAATATTGCCTCTTTCTCGGTATTATTAGTCATGGTATTCTAACACGTCATATAAAATTTCATAAATGCCAAACGGTTTAAGAGCAACGTTAAAAAAATGCATTTAAATTTTTATCTTATACACCCTTTAACTATTTTTCGGTGCACTTTTGTATATAGGTAAGTACGGTTTAATCGACCTATTTTTGACCCAAGAATATGTGGTGTGATTTATCACCAATCTTTTTGAAATACCCTGTATAATGCCTAAGGGTTTGTTTTGGGTTATATCGAACCGTTGCGTCGACGTCGGTCGATTGCAATTTTGAAATAGAGTTTATTTTTCAAGAAAACGTCGATATGTTATAACTACCAATTGAACTGAATGAGTGTAATTTACTGATTCGTGAAAAAACAGAAAATCAAATTAGTCGTTATAAAAGCATTCAGTGGATAAGTTTTGTTCCCAAAGGAATGGATCAGGAGCACCGTTAGACACTTACTTTGATTGCCCGAATGACGACACATTATCCGATAACGAATACCAAGATCCAGACTTTCCACATATCCAATTTTAAGAATGAATGAATTTGGAAGAATATAATATTGAGATAACTCATATTTTTGACAATCCTGGACCATTTGGTTGCAGAAACCAAAGCTCTCATAATTCAAATCATGTTTTGTTTTTTGTAAATTTATTTCATTAAAACAGCAGTTTCCTAATACCTTAATTTGTATATTATTTCCCTTCAATTTTAATTTTCAATTTTGTGAAAATCAAAAATATTTCAATTTTGTTTGAAGTAGAACCAACTGGCTCAACGTTTGAAAAGATGTATTTCTTTGGTGACAAAATACCGTTTTTCATTTCCTTGTTTTATCAATAAATATTCTGTATATAATCGATACAATGAATATTTTAAAAAGTTACTAGTAGAACTTTCTTATTAAACACAACATTCTTGTGGGACATT